ATGACTTTATTTAGAGACTTTCTTTGGTAAAAAGGCAAAAGCTCGGTAGAATAGACATGAAATCAGCGGTGAGCATTACCATGTACGCTTGCAGAACTTTTTTAAGCTTTTTTTTGTACAATTGATATGGACAAGCACAGACTGAAATACTGTTATAGAGTTAAAGCCTAGACCTGATCTAAAAGCTCTAGGTAATATTAGGTTATGTTAGGTTTAATTGACTGCGAGTGTCACCCGTTAGCACACCCAGGCCCTTAGATTTTGAACGCGTTGTGATACCACGCGAACCCTTCCACTCAAACCATCGTGTGGATTTCGCAAAACCCAGAAATTCCCGTATGCCTAAATCAGGTATGTCGGTTAGGTCTTCGATAAATCCTAAACCCATGAGCTTTCGTCTTCTTCTACACAGTATGGAGCATTCGTATGATAGGCGACGCATGCTCTAGAAGAGCCAAGAAATTCCGAACGTTCTAAAAACTGCATAATGGAATTACGTTAATAAAAAATATTCGCTTTGTTAAGTACTTATATCAAAGATCCTCAAATAATGATAAAGAAACTTATTAAATACGAGATCCAAAATAAAGTGGTCTTACTGCGACCATTTCATACAAGAACTCAGAGGTCGGAAAAGAAACTAAATATTTGCCTATACTCTCCCTATTTTTAGATCTCCAAGGAAACAAGGTGTTGATATCGAAAACTTAAAATAAGTTCTAGATAAGTGGATAACTTAGAAGACCTTATAAAAGCATCTTTAAGAATCGATTAAATTCTCACTTTAGCTTGAATGCAACCAAGGGATCGAAGAGTACGCTATCTCACGTGGGTCGGGTTTGTGCAATCAAATTTACCCGTATAAACTCGGCGAAGAAACAGAACTACAGCGCATCTTTAAACATCAGATAATTTGTGGTACAACTGCGGCGAATGTGCGGCACGAGCTGTCGCTTGTCAGGCGAGTACAATAACCACTATACCATCGAGGAAAACCAATAACTATTGGTAACAAGAAGACGAGGAATATCAATCTATTCTAACCAAAAAACGATGCATTTATCACGAAATGCTAATCTGACCACGAAACTATGGAGAAATACCAACATATTTTAACCAGGAAATAGGAAAGTTATCGAGAAATACTAATCGCCATTCTAACCAGCAACCAAGCAAGGAAATTATCGAAAAACAATAGTAACAAAGAAATGAGGAACCTATACCCATACTAGCTAAGTGTAATAATCACTACACCGAAGGAGAAACAAAAGATACAAATTAATCAGGCTTGGGATCAGGTGATGTTAAATGTAATAACAAAATTAAAAACCATGACAGGTGAAGAATTTCACTCGAAGAATTTTACTTCAAGAATACACTTGCTTTGTACAATTATAAAAAAGATAGTCTATAGCCAACTACATAGATAACTATTAAGTCAAACCATCTTTCAAAGAAAAAATTTCCGAAGGCGTTTAAGTAAGTTTAGAGACGGATCACAATGAAAATGTGGACACATGACATTATCGTACGGCGAGGTAGATTTCTACCTAACACAAGTCCTTAGCGGGCATGAATGCTTTAAGGCCTGCCTCCATCGCTTTGGACATGAAAGCTATACATACTGCGACTACTGTGGCCCTGAGGAAATAGAAGATGCGGAACACGTACTCTTTTCATATCACCGATTCAGCACTCAGAGAGGAATACTCAATGAACGTTTCGGCAGCGTAGTTACACCCGAAACACTAGTCCCACAAGCATTGCAGGGCCAATACGCTCGTAAAGAATTTAAAGCCACTTCTACCCTAGTAGAACGGCAGGCGATGAATAAGAAGCAGCCACATTATATTATCTGGCTCAGGCCAGATAAAAAGCCCGTTTTCCTTGAAAAGTAACAGCATGAAGAGGGCGTACCTCTCAAAACACCCGGACATTACTAGACTTAGAAACGTACTTCTTAGTTGTAAAATACCAATTGGGGGGGTAGGTTTATTACCAAACCAAGACAAACCGTGAGTGAATTCATGTGAACTTTTTGCTCAAACCGCCTCCTGACGAAATATGAAATAAAAAATGTCCTTTGATTTTATCCTTTTACGGACGATTTCTACTGAAGCATTCAACGAAAAGAGTGCTTTAGGCTTCTGGAACAATACATATGTATACACCAAAGACAAAAGTTTCCTGATTGGGCTGAGAGGTAACCTAAAAAAGGTTTATTAACTGAGATAAACTCAGTGTTGCCAGAGAAAAATTTCGTTTGGAGCTAAAACGGTCGAAAAAAAGAGCTAAAAAGAGCTAAATAATACTAATAGTAGCTAAAATGAATTGCTACATATTTTTGTTTTGGTTGACCATTTATTGACGTCAGGTTGTTTTTACATTTTCGGCAATTTTAATAAAAACGAATTTTATAAGTTTAAGTGCTGAAAAAATCGTTTAAAATCAAAATAAGGTGCATATATTACGAATTCGTTGCTATGATGGCACTTATAACAGTGAAATAAAAATTCTTTACAAACTGTTAAAGTCTGTAATTTCAGATATTTAAATTGAATAATTTTTTCGCAACATTTTTCTGGAAAGTTTTACTTCCAGCTCTCCTTAAAGGTAAAATTAGTAAGGTAAAACAAAATCCGCTACCACAAAATGATCTTCTTCTAATAAATTTTTGAATACTTTAACCTAGATCCAGGATTTATGGTGGATACACTGCACCTCGAAATTTTACATTTTATCAACGCTTAAATTTTGGCTTATATATACCAAATACAACTAAAACTTTTTGGAGCTAAAAAGTGCTAGATAAATTTGAAAACAGCTAAAACCCAATTTTCGGAGCTAAATAGAAAAATAAAGAGTTAAATCTAGCCCCAAAAGCTCCAAAATGGCAACACTGGATAGACTATGCGGGTGCCTGCTTTTTCGAATACTTTTCTATGAAAATAGGTACCACGGCACGTGAAAAGGAGTTATAACATGCGAATGAATGGGGTTATTAGGAGAACAAGTCCGTGAATAGTGACAGTGTACTTACTCCTCGGATCGATGAACCGGCCGCCTAAATATTTTGTGGGAAAAAGCTCGATGCAAAAAAAAAACTTAAGTTTGTAGTAACAGAAATAAAAGAAACGATTTATTTCAACCAGTTTTGTCTATATTTCTTTTGTCTACTTAATATTTTTTTTTTATTTATAAAAGTCTACCGCATTTTATATGCAATTAACTGTATATAAATGTGCATTTCAAAATTTGTACGAAAATTATAACAATGCAAAAATATTAACCAAAATTTCAGAATTTTTAGAAAAATTTTAGGTACGCAATTTTATAGCCCATTAAATTACAGAAGGATAAAGTAGAAATTTCAAGTGGCTAAAAATACACTCGATTTTTTATAATTTTAATTTAATTTTTTTTTTTGCTGGCGGTATCACACATTTTCTGCCAACAAAATATGTTCGACAATTTGTTTATATGGAAGAAAATGCCCAGCATCGTAAAAACAAATTTCCAAAAATCAACAGTATTTTTCAGCTGCTTAAAACTTGCACTTTATCGTACTATTATTTAATGCGCTATAAAACTGCGTACCTATTTTTTTAAAAATTCTGTGTGAAGGTTTGAAATCTTGGTTAAAAATTTTTGCGTTTTTATAATTTTTGTACAAATTTTGAAATGCACATTTATATGCAGTTAATTATATATAAAATGAGGTAAACTTTTATTAAAAAAAAATTAAACATTAAGAAATATAGACAAAACTGGTTGCAATAAATCATTTCTTTTATATCTGCCATTACATCTGTTGACTTAAATTTTTTTTTGCATCGAGCTGGTACACGCTTAAGAATCATTAAACTCGTATACATTTAATTTCTGTCTCTTGTTTTGTTACTAATGAAATATTTTTTGCTTTAAATAAAAAATTAGGTTTCAAACTATATATTACTTATTATATGGGAGGAGAGCTTCTCAAACAATATTGATGCAATTTTTTCGTTTTAAACTATTGAAAAATAATGAATATCTAAACCCGAGACTAATCCCGGAATTGCGGGATTGTATAAACGCGATCCCGAAAATTCCGTGTTCGTACAAATCAAGAAAAAAACTAAGATCCCTACTACCAACACTTTGAAGTTGCTAAGCCGAAAGCCGCTGAAGCACTCCTACAGAAATAGACGGCATTTTACTTGATTTCAGAACTTTTTTTTTCTCAAAAAGAGCCAGCTGTTGGACTGCATTTTCGAACAAAGCCCCATCGTTTGACTCATTGAGCTTGTACACGGAATTTTTAGACAGTATCTCGGCATTCTTCGCCACACACTTCGAGACAATTGCTGCACTTATTCGCATAGAAATTCACAGACACACACATTTGTAAATATGTATCCTCACAATCAACTACACTCTGATTAATCATTTTTCTTGTGTGTACAAATCACCTCTTATATAAAATGCATTATTCATCAAACATCAACATCATCATCCCTTCACCACCATATTGCCGCTGTGCATACCGGCTGTCATTTGCATTGACGAACACACGGCGGGGTTGTTGTTGATGCTGATGGCAGTAGGCAGCAGCAGGGGGAAGGAGGAAGGTGAATGAACACACAAATATGTACACACATATGATTGTGAGTAATTCACGCCATCTCAAAGCGAGCCTCTGAAACACGATCAACTTTTTCGAAGAACGCCATTTACCGACGGCACAATGAGGTGTGTTGTTGAAGGGAGTTAAGTGTGCGAAGCGGTGACAAAAAAAAAGTGTGCGCAGAGGACTGGCGTTAAAGGGTTATTTCAAAGTTGGAAAGCACAATTTCTATGCACCATCTCTCAGGGGTTTGAAGATCACAAAGCAATACTTTCGACACTTTCACAGCCTTAGAGCAGTAAATTACTTTTTCACTAACTCATCGCTTCTCAAATTTCACTCTCACAGTGGATCTCACTTAATTTGTATGAAAATTGAAAAATCTTTCACTTACCGTCCACTCTTGGTGATCACCATTTCCGTGCCCAGCTTGTGAAACTTTTCCCACAGATCCTTGCCCTCCAGCGTCACTTTCGGATCGTCGACGACGCCATCGTCCTCCGGTTGTAGCGCACGCAACGGTCTCATCGCCGGATGCAACTGATGCGCCACAGCCGATGCGAGCACCACGTCCTCGGCGGTGGTGTAGGGTGTGCCCAACGGATGATGGGCGTGCGGATGATGTGGCGGGAAACGCAGACCGGCGGGATAGAGACCGTGATGTGGACCCGCTGGACTGCCGGCGAGCGCTGCTAACGCGGCCGCTGGAAAGTACGGCTGTTGCGGCAGGTGTGGTCCCAAAGCGTGATGGCCCGGCACCGGCGAGTGATGCGGATGCTGGTGCGGCGCTGGCGGTTGTGCGGGATGGGCGTGCGGATGCGTCGCGTGCGGCAGTGGCGGTGGTGGCGCCTGCTGATGCGGCGACAAATGTGGCGAGGTTAAATGTGACGCTGGATGAGCTAGTGACTGTTGTTGTTGCTGTTGCTGTGGCTGTGGATGCGCGTGCGCGTGCGCGTGCGACGACAAATTATTGTTGCTGCTCTGAGGATCGTTGTTGTTGTTATTTGTGTTGGAGGTGTTGGTGGGCGTGTGGCGGTTATTGTTGTTACTATTGCTACTCGACTTGCTGCCGATACTATTGCTACTACTATTGTTGTTATTATTATTGCTGCCAGGCGATAGCAGTGGCGGCTGTTGACCACCAACCGGTGAGGCTTGACCAGCACCGCAAAGTAACTGTTGTTGCTGATGATGCTGCTGCTGTTGCAATTGCAATTGCTGTTGTTGCAATAATGCCGCAGCGCTTGTGGGTGTATTTGGCGGTTGCTGTTGCTGATGCGCTTGATGTGGCTGTGCGGGTGAGGTAGCCGCACTCAATACGGTATTCGCGTTGCCACCTCCGCCACCAATGCTCAAATCACCAGCTGCCGCGGCGGCTGCTGCGGCTGCGGCTGCTGCAGCGGCGGCGGTAGCGGTAGCGGTGCTAGCCTGTTGTGCTTGTTGCGTGCCGGCCGTCAACAGCGACGACACGCTGAAGTCAGTGGGTCGGGAGAGCTGCAGAAATGGATGATATGCCATCCCATTTGCGAATCGAGCGAATGGATCCTCAGCAGACTGATGAAGCAACTCTTGAACGTCGTATCTCATTACATTACACGTTTCTAGCAACAGCGTAGGCAAAAAGCGCTAAAACAAAATTAGGCGCGCCGCACTAGCAAATTCACGGAGCAGCTTGGAGCAGGAGGGCGCAAACTTTCAGTGCCACCTTAGACCACAAAAATTTGTTCTCCTTCTTAAATCAAAATCAGAGCCCTCGGAATGTTGCTCTAGGCCGCGCGTTTCTACTGCTCGACTGCAAAGCCGCTCAAGCGCTTTTCAAAAAATTTACTTAGCTTTAAGAATTTCTATATTTTTACTTTCAGCGCCTGCTTCCGCTTGTTTGCTTCACTTCTTTTTAGCGCTAGCCTGACGCGTGCTCCCTGCTGCTGCTTAAAAAAAAAAAGATTTCTTTTTAAATTTTACACTTCTTTTGGAAAATCTTTGTTGCACAAATGTAAACGGCAATTCTGCGGCAACTAAAGTGAGTTTTTGCAGCTGTTTGTGGTTGAATTATAATTTTTATAAATTTTTCCAAATTCTTATTAATTTTATTTACATACTTTCGTTTATTTACATACTTGCTTTTGATTTTTTACACAATTTTGTTGTTGTAACAGCTGTTTTGAATTGTTATTGTTGTTCTAATGCTCTTTACGCTCACTTTGCCGCACTTTTACTCTACTAAAATTAGGTTTTTTTGTTTTAAAAAATAGGTTCAGCATTTTATTGCTTTTTGCTGCACTCAGATTTAATTTTATGTTTTTTCACAAACACTTTTTTGGCTCCGTTATGTTGTTTACCTTAATTAACCTAAGTTTTTTGTTTAAAGCAAAATATTTTTGCACAGTTATGCCGTTTTGTAAACGCAGAAATTAGTTTTTTCCATTTCTTCGATTTCCTTTTGCTGCTGGTATACTTTTTTGCTCAGCTAGTACGCCATTTTTCGTATTTGGAAATTTTTTTACCCAGTAAAATTTAATTTTTTTGTTTTTATCCAAATTTGTTTGCCTTACTTGCACTTTTCATTACTTTGCGCGTTAGTTTGCATATACAAATTGCACTTTTCCACTAAAAAATTTTTAATATTAGATAACACAAAAATATGTACATATATATATTTTTTTTTTCAATTTCTTCGCTATTTGAAAGTTTTCAGTTAGTTTAGGCATTTGCTATTCACTTGCGGTGCATAATTCACTTTTTTTTAAGCGTTGCTAATTTTTCTGCCACGCCGTGAACTTTCAGTCCGTTCCCCTTGCAGCTCCAATAATTTTGCTGCAAATTAAAAGTTAAAAATTAGTCAAATTCTCATTGAAATTATCTGCGCTTCGATTTTGTACTCTTCACACGTTTTGTTTTCGCGCAGCGAGCGAATCGATGTTTCATCGCAACACCGGCGGCTTTGCGCCTTAGCTGTGGCACAGCCGTCCCAATGCTGCTAAACACAAAATTCCTTCAACTTTTTCACCTTAAACTTTTACAAAACTCCCTCACCTATGTTTTACACAATCTTTAACAACACAGCACACGAAAAATTCGTCGAGAAAGCTATTTCTCAAAAGAGTTTTATCGCCGGCTAAACAAAATATATTTTCTATGAAAACGACCACAACGACGACGACCAAAGCGAGCTACCTATGCTGCACACACGTTAAATCGAGTAAGAATTTTGAAGGCGAATTGGTCGCACAGCGAAAAAAAAACGCTACGCAAACGTTCAATATACACACTAGCAGCCGAGATACGCACTACACGCCGGTCGCTTGCAAACTGGAAAATACACATACTCGCCGAAGCGGCGCAACCCCCCAAAAACCAGTCTCGAATGGCTGCTAGCGAAGCCGCCGCGGCAGGAGAGTGTAGAGCGCTAGAGCGCTTGGCAGGCGTGCAAACGAATTGGCAGCGCTGCACACAAATGCAACCCGGGCACACACACACACAAGCGAGCACGCAGCTGAGCGCAGACTAGTAGCGAGTAACGAGCCAAATAAACAAACAGCGGATGATGGTTAGCGCTGCAAAAAGCTGAGCTAACAGCGAGTAGGTGCAATACATATACAAAAGCGCCGACTGTGAAGCACGCGCACACACCGATGAAGCAGCGCGCTGCGAGAAGGTAGCTACAATCAGAAAGAGACGTTGTTAAAGAGCAAGCGATGGGTTTGAAATCGTAATCAGAAACCGGTATGGCTGTGGCTGCGGCGGCTGTGGTTAAACATGTGTGCGCGTCGCATGTGTATGTGTATTGGTCTTACTCGCCAATTCCAATAAGAGACAGTGCGCGCAAGTAAGTTGCCGGCTTAGAACGCGTCGTCGTCCCTCAGCAGCACTGCGTTAAAAAAAGCGTTAGGGCTAACAAGACTGGTGACACCAGCAGCAATGACAAAAGGCATAAGAAAACCCCAAAAAAAAAATTATAAAAAATTTGGCAAGCGTAGTAAAAGCAAAAACTCAGTTTAGAAAAAAAATCAGTAGCAGCGCAGTATGGGCATGAATTTCGCACTTTCTGGCGACAACATTGCATATTTTTTCTACTCTGCGCTATGTATATGTATGCGAGTGTGCTTGTTCGCTCGCTCATTTGCTTGTCCAAGTCATTGAACGGCCCTCGCAGCTTTGCTTGCATACATATGTATGTGTGGGTGAGAGGATGCGGTGTTTGGAACCCGCTAAGGTAGGTGGTGCTGAGCTTTGCTGAGCCGTTTATGATTGTATTGGTGTAGGTGCTGGTTTTGTCACATTCGCAAACGCTGCACTCGTGTTGGCTGTGCGTAGGAATGTGTTTGCGCGCGTGTGTGTGTGTGTGTGTGTGTGACAATTGGAAGTGTGATAAGTGTGCAACAGTGGTTTTGCGAGATTTTTCTAGGAGCATAAATTTGAACGCGTTATTTTATAGAAAGAATTTATGAAAAATATATAAGTAAATTAAAATTATTAATAACCAGTCTAAAACAAATAAAAGAGAAATAGTAAAAAGTGAAAAATATCAAAAAATGTTTGTGTCGAAATGTCGCAGAATAGCAATCAAGCATTTGAAAACAAAATTTCATTAATTATTTCAGTGATTTGAAGTCTTTAAGACGTCCCGAAACGATTCCCTTTACCTCCAAAATGAACATTTAAAACATTAATAAGTTATGCCCAATCTCATTTAGCGGGTTTTCGAGGGGCAACATTTGCTAGAAAACTTTACTTTTTTTCTTATAGAAAATAGAGTAAATCTTCTACCGAAACTTGCTTGTGCAATATGATTAAATTTTTTTCTGTTAGGTATTTGTTTTTGTTATTTATGGAATTATAACAATTATATTCAACAACTTCATTGAGTTTGATGCCGCTTTTTATGAAAACTAAACTAAACCTTGCTCTCTTTGAAGTTCGCCTTACTTAGCACAGTGGATAAGCCACGGTTTAACGGTTGGATCGATGGAGATGTGGTGATCTCCGAAATAGCTATCACTTCTACCAATTTTAAATTATTTTTTTTTTATTATTATTATTATTATTTTTATTTTTGTTTTTCCTCAATAGTTTTCATTTAAAACTGCCTCAAGCTCAATAAAGTTGTTGATTTTTTTTTCTGTAAGTAAAATTAATCTGAAGTAGAAACTCATATACTACAATTGACATCAATTGCATTAAAAAGCCAGTAGAGACCAATACTGCTAAAATTTCCAATATTTTTAAAAAATTAACACGCCGAGCGATTTAACGAAAGTCTATTTCCTGAAAACTAATACTTGTGTGATTACATTTACGCCCAATTCTAATTTTAATCCACTCAACACCAAATCTTACCCCATGGGAAAGCGTTTTAAAGCTTAAAAGCTCGCTGATCATCAATGATTTAATCCAGTGATGGGCACCGCCTTGCCAGCGGGCAAAGCTCTTTTAAGCTTTCTATACATTTAGTATAGTCGCGTGCAGAGTAAAAGCTCTCGCTGCCCATCGCTAATATAATCAGTACATACCAAAAACCATCCCGCGGAAGAAGCTTTTTAAAGCTTTCTATATTTGTACGCTCAGATAAAAAGTTCCCTATAGTAGTCGCTGATATACATACTCATATAATTTAATTGCTCTATTTGCGCCAATGAAAAATCTACAGAAAGCTTTATCGCGCGTTATCATGACCAAAACACATCTCGCCGGAGAAACTTTTTTAAACTTTTCGTAGAAGATCTCTCTGATCTTCGCTGTTCTTAAATGATCCAATCAGTATGTATCATGCCATTAAGTTCTATAAGAATATTCAAAGCCGTCATTTCTAAATAATTAGCTTAAAGTGAAATTTTGCAGAATTAGTTTTATTTATAAATTATTGGCCTTTAAGTTATTTTAAGGTTAAGTTAAGTTATTTTATACAAAAAAAAAAATCGCTTCTTTCTCAACAGTATGCCTCCAGCGACTAATTTCTGATATACATATCTGTGTATATGTACATATGGATTAGGTTAGGCTATGATATCAATAATTATGTATATCAAAAGCAAATCAAGGCTAAATGCCAGCAAAAGCTTAAAGTGCAAACAGTCAACGACGTAACGTAGACGTAGGTTGACGCAGACACGATCTACCTTATGGGATTCGCGTGTTAACGAAAACTCACCACCGCATCGCGGTGACGTTGCCGTTGCTTCTCTCTCTCTCTATCAACAGTAAATTTTATATGTTGCTACGTACGTCAACCTACGTTTACGCTACGTCGTTGACTTACTGCGCTTTTATTATTAGAATCTGCTTAGTCGCTCCATGAAACTGCTGCATGAAGGGCTTGAGGTGATGTTGAGCCTCGCCTTATGCATTTGAAAGGAGCAAGAACTATTATGAGTGGCCGGATAACGATAGCTTCAACATACATATTTGTTTAGATTTAAGGGCTTCTAAGGGGTGACCAGGAGAACTTAACGAACTTGCACTCCACGACTTTTGCACAAAATTAAGAGAATGGTATATTAATTCGGCATAAAGATACTATAAACCTACTTTCAACTACTTTTTCGCCCGAAGTATTTACATTTGTTGCCTGCTCTTTCCTTGCCGCTCTTAATTGCTGGCCATTTTTTCTGTTACGTTCTGAGTTTGCAGCTGAAAATCCAAAATGTGGAAGACTTATTGCGTAAATCGAGCTCACATACAAGTCTTATACTTAATATGTATGTAGTTAAATCATTTCAGAAAAAATCGGCTGAAAAATCGTCATACAGTAAAATTAAAAATTTAGAAGTTTATGTGAATCCCTTTGGCCAAAATTTGACTTCAGATACGAGAAGGTGAGTAGTAGGTATTCAGAGCTAATCGTAATGTTTTTATCCTGACTGATATGCTAAGTTTTTTTTCATCTCAGTAAACCTACATATGTTTTTAGTAATTTTAGTCCATTTTTTGCCCGAGCTTCTCCTCTATTTTATTGTGATGGTCTTAATGTTGTCACATGTCAAAATGGAGTGGCCTACAGTGTTTGCCGTCTCCGAACTGCAAATGATTTCATGAGGAGCAGGGGAGAAATACACGCGGAGGGTTGCAATTGCCTACCGATCGCTTCAGAAAAACCTCTTCTTCTGTACCACCAAAGTAATTTTATTTGTAAAAATCTTCTGAAAAATTGTAATTATTTATTCCTGATCGTTTGCAAACAGACCCACTGTCCTCTAACTTGGCATGGAAGACACCAAAAGTAAACGAAACAAACACATATTCACACTTAGGTAAGTGGTAGCCGACCAAGGCGAGTTATCTTTAGCCGCGTGTGTGAAAGTGTTAGCTGCGTCAGCGTCGGCGACATTCAACATCAACAAAACAACTACAACTACGCCTACTACTACTACGCGGACGTCGACAACACACACATGTGTACATATGTATGTATAAAAGAACGACATTGGGGCCGTGTTAAGAGTACAAATTTGGCGCCGTCGCGTAAAGATGGCGCGTGATGAAGTGTGAAAAAAAGAGACAACGCTATGGTGTTAAGTGCAGGTGACAAAAATAAAGTACAACAACAACAACAAAAAAACAGTGCAAACAACAGCAATACCGATTTCAAAGCTAACGAAAGCAGCAACACCAACAACAGCTAACACAAATGAAACCTGCTGCTGGCCAAAAGGAAAATGTAGAAAAAGAAGATGTTCTCGGGCTGTCATTTGTTGTTGTTGCTATTGTGGGGCTGTTGTCAAGAATGGTGTGATGATGGCGTTGAAAAAGAAGCAAAACAAAAGTAGCTTAAAGAAACAAGCAAAAGGGCCGGGCCGGGCCGGGCCGGGCCGCACCGA